CCCCCCCCCCCCCCCCAAGAGGGAGGGACATGTCTTCTTGTTTAGGCCGGCTTCCGCGTTCTTTCTCTCTCCTCATCCCCCACGGTTTCTTTATCCTGTCCGTACTCTGGTAATCATATAGGCGAGGGGAGACGGACAGCATTAGGCCTACGGTGCCGACACTCTCGCAAGACTGAATATCACACAGCTTTACACGCGTATCGGATCACGAGACCTTTCACAATAAGAGGGCCTAGACGAAAGACACGCGTTGGCTGACAACAGTCAAGAATATCGATTGTTTTTTAAGTACGTTAATTCATCTCATCAAACTTTCCACATGTCCCTTTCCTCCCATCCCTGTGGGTGTTCTCGCTAAATATGTGGAATCAAACAAATAAAAACAAATCTATCGCACTATTCCCCAGGTTACCGTACCAATCTAGGCCTTGACAATTCTGCAAACCAGGTCGGAGCCGTCGACCGAGTCGCCCTCCTTGACCTGCAGGGTCGACACCACTCCGTTGTGCGGCGCCGAGATGACCATTTCCTAAGGGGGCCGAGTTAGCATAATGAAGGAAAAGAAGATGATGGAAAAAGGAGGGGAGTAAGATAAAAAGTGGGACGGGGTAACGGGACGAAAACTTACCATCTTCATGGCGCTGAGAACAGCGATAGGGTCGCCCTTCTTGACGTCGGAACCATCCTTGACGCGGAGCTCGACCAGTACACCAGCCATGGGCGCGCCAACCTGGCTCGAGTCGGTGGGGTCGGCCTTGGCGCGGCTGACGTTCTCGACGGAGGCCTTATTGTCATCAACGGTGACCTGGCGGACCTCACCGTTCATCTCGTAGAACACCTCACGTTGGCCAGTGTTCTCGCTGAGGGGGCCAATGGCCAGGAGCTTGAGGATGAGAACCTTGCCCTTCTCGAGCTCGACGTGGAACTCCTCGCCAATCTCGGGACGAGACAGGAAGTACTTGGTGGGAAGAACGGAAAGGTCACCGTACTTCTGGATGAACTTCTTATAGTCCTCAAAGACCTTGGGGTACATGACGTACGCGGCGATGTCGCACTCGGTGATGGGGCCGCCGAACTTCTTGTGCAGGTCACGCTTAACCTTGGCGAAGTCGACGGGCTCGAGGAAGAGACCGGGGCGCTTGTCCAGCTTTCTGCGGCCGCGGAGGGCGTTGGAGCGGAGGGGCTCGGGGAAACCGCCGTACGGCTGGCCCATCAGACCCTCAAGGAACTCCAGAACGGAGCCGGGGAAATCGAGCTCGCCGGCGCGGGCCTTGACATCCTCAACGGAGAGCTTGTTGGAGACCATGAACTGGGCAAGGTCACCAACGACCTTGGACGTGGGAGTGACCTTGACAATGTCGCCAAGAAGCTCGTTGGCATGCTCGTAGGCCTTCTTGGTCTCGGCCCACTGGGTGCCGAGGCCGAGCTGGGAAGCCTGGAACATCATGTTGGTGAGCTGACCACCAGGGATCTCGTGCTCGTACACCTCAGGGTCGGGACCGGCAAGGTGAGCCTCGAAAGGAGAGTAGAGCAGACGCAGCTGGGACCAGTAAGAGTCTAAAGCACGAACGTGGGCCGGGTTCAGGCCAGTGTCGTGCTCACTGCCCTCGAGGGAAGCAATGATGGCGTTGATACTGGGCTGGGAGGTCATGCCAGACAAGCTGTCAGTGGCGGCGTCGACGGCGTCGGCGCCGGCTTTGGCGCACGCCACCATGGAGGTTACACCCGTACCGGCAGAGTCGTGGGTGTGAACGTGGATGGGCAGGTCAGGGTACTTCTTGCGGATAGATCCGATAAGGAGCTCGGCTGCGTGGGGCTTGAGGACACCAGCCATGTCCTTGATGCCAAGCACGTGAATGTCGAGAGCCACAAGCTTGTCAACGAGATCGAGGTAGTACTGAAGGTTGTACTTCTTCTTAGGGTTCAACACTATGAACAGTTAGCAAAGGCACATGGCTCGAGGTGATAGTCCAAGAAAGGGGAAACTTGCTGTCTCCGGAATAGCACACGGTTCCTTCCACGACGCCACCAGCCTTATGAACGGCCTTGATACCAACCTCGAGTTGATCGATGTCGTTGAGGGCGTCGAAAACGCGGAAGATATCCACACCATTCTTCTTGGCCTGCTCGACAAAGTGGTCGATGGCGTTGTCGGGAAGAGACGAGTACGCCACACCGTTGGCGCCACGCAGAAGCATCTGGAAGGGGATGTTGGGGACGGCCTTCCTCATGCGGCGGAGACGGTCCCAGGGGTCCTCGTAGAGGAAGCGGTAAGCAACGTCGAAGGTCGCGCCTCCCCAGCACTCTAAACTGTACAGGTTGTGTAGTCCGTGGCTAGTCTCCTTGGCAATGTTGAGCAGATCGACCGTGCGCACACGGGTGGCCAAGAGAGATTGGTGAGCGTCACGCCAGGTGGTGTCCATGAGTAGGGTGCCCTTGTAGTCGCGGACGGCCTTGGCGAAGGCCTTGGGGCCCTGTTCAAGGATGATCTTCCTCCAGCCCTTGGTGCAGGTCTGGTTGACGTCGACCTTGGAGCCGTCGTCGTTAAAGAGCTCGGGGAGGATGATGTCGCCCTTGAACTTGGGCTCGCCGACCTGGCCCTTGATGCTGCTGCCGTTGACGGCGACGTCGCCGAGGTAGGCCAGAAGCTTCTGCGCACGGTTTTGACTGCCGATGAGGTCGAAGAGCTGCGGGGTGTCGTCGATGAAGGTGGTCCAGCAGTTGCCGTCGATGAAGGTGGGGTGGGTGAGCAGAGAGGCAAGGAAGGGAATGTTGGTCTTGACGCCGCGAATGCGGAATTCGACCAGGGCACGGAGAACCTTTCTCCGGGCAATCTCGTATGTCGAGCCGTGGCATGAACATTTTACCAACATAGAATCATAGAAGGGAGTGATGACGGCACCGGCGAAACCGTTGCCACCGTCGAGACGGACACCGTTACCACCGGCGGAGCGGTAGACCTCGATCTTGCCGGTGTCGGGCTGGAAGTCCTTGGAGGGATCCTCGGTGGTGATTCTGCACTGAATGGCGAAACCTCTGGTGGAGATGCGGTCCTGCGTCAGGCCGAGCTGCTGCAGGGTGGCGCCGGCAGCGATCTGGATCTGGGCGGCGACGATATCAATACCTGTGATCTCCTCGGTGATGGTGTGCTCAACCTGGATACGGGGGTTGATCTCGATAAAGTAGTATCTGTTCTGCTGGTCGACCAGGAACTCGGCAGTACCAGCGTTGCGGTAGTTGACCGACTTGGCCAGCTTGACAGCGTCGTTGAGGATAGCATCACGGACCTCGGAGGGGAGGTCCTTTGCGGGGGCAATCTCAACGACTTTCTGGTGACGACGCTGGACGGAGCAGTCACGCTCGTACAGGTGGACAATGTTGCCATGGTTGTCACCGAGGAGCTGCACTTCAATGTGCTTGGGCTTGTCGAGGAATCTCTCGACGAAGACGGTTCCGTTACCAAAGGCTGACTTGGCCTCCGAGGTGGCTCTCTCGAAAGCCTCCTTCAGGGCCTCCTGCTCGCGAACGACACGCATACCACGGCCGCCACCGCCGTAGGCGGCCTTGATGATGATGGGGAATCCATATTTGTCGGTGAAGCCCTTGACCTCCTCGAAGGTGCCGACGGCGCCTTCGGTACCGGGGACGACGGGGACTCCGGCAGCGATGGCAAGCTTTCGGGCGGAGACCTTGTCACCGAGCGAGTCAATGACCTCGGCAGAGGGACCGACGAACTAGTGGAGTATACCGAGTCAGTGGTGTTGACAAGATCCAAAGGGGAGGGGGTTTTGCGGGATGGAACTTACGATAAGGCCGGCCTTCTCGACGTTGCGAGCGAACTCTGCGTTTTCTGAGAGGAATCCATAACCTTTTGGCGGTGTGTTAGTGGGCGAGCGATAACGGCATCTAGAGACTAGGTGCAGTTGCTTACCAGGGTGGATCATTTGCGCGCCGTGCTCGACGGCAATCTTGATGATCTCATCTCCAGCGAGATAAGCACCGACCGGGGTGTACTGGCCACGCTTGCCAATGACGTATGCCTCGTCGGCCTCTGCAAAAGACTGGTCAGAGAAGGGTAGACGGAGGGACTGTGATGTGCGGGCTTACTCTGTCTGTGCATGGAGAGACGGTCCTCATAACTGCGGGTGTCAGCCTGCGAGTGTCTAGGCTGGGGCCAGCCTGTTTGCTTTAC